ACGGTTACGTGCTCCATTTTCAATAGATAGAAGATAGTATCGATCAAGCGCTTTACAAGCGCTCGCAAGCAGATCAGGCAGAGTCTGTAGACTGAAGAATAAATAACTCGCGATGCGCCGGAAATCACTAACTGCAATCAGTGCGGAGCTGAATCGCAAAACAACAATCGTTCTTTTCCCCTCCCAAGGGCCGGTCGGATAATGAAGGGATACAAAAAAAAGCCTCCTTCAATGAAAAACAACGATTTTTTTTTCCGCTTAATGGAAACATTCGTGCTTCCCCCGTACAACGTATGTACGCGCGCGATCATTGGAGAAGATAGAAAAAAATAGCGGGGAGTCTCCCTCTCCCCCTCCCCCTCCCCAGCGTGCCGGCTGTTGTTTGTCTGTATTATTTACGTGGAGCATAAATTACGCCTCTGAGCTAGTTACGTAATTATCTTGTAGCACTTGCAGTTCCCGCAGAATTTACGTGGGCGATTTTGCATAATGGCCGCGTTTCATACAAAGTGTGAGCCCGAGCTGTTCTCCTAACAGTTTGGAAATTCGGCGAAAGTTTAGTGTGCCAGTCAGTCGTGTAACTATATCGCAGTACGGAACAATGGGTAGTTAGACGTCTCGGGTTTGCGTCGCGCGTCGGAACTTAAATTTTCCTCCCCCGAGCCTGATCAGAGAGAGAGAGAGAGCGCGGGATAGAATTCGTAGCGAACGATCCGCCCCCTTCCTAAAAAAGGACGTCTTTGTTAGTATGTATAACGTGTATACGCGATTCGCGAGAGTAAGAGAATAGAAGCCCGTTTGTTGAGCGTTAAGCCGAGGAGCTAAGAGCAGCGGCGGCTCTCTTGTACATCTCGTGTCGGCGGCGTTTCGGCGTTACTTCGGTTTTACGAGTCGCGGAGGGGCGGAGAGAAGTGCCCGGTGAAACGCGCGATAAACAGAGGGAAGAAGAAGCGCGCGGGAGGAAACGGTGCGGGGTCGCGGCGCAGAGAGTCGCGTTTTTATTTTACGACGGTACATCCGGCTGCTCCGCGCTCCTCGTGTATATATGCTAAAAGAGAAGAGAGAGATCCCGCTTTGAAACCCCGCCCCTTCCTGGCGGTGGCCACCGCCGCCGCCGCCGCCGTCGTCGTCGTCGTCGTCGTCGGTATTTTCCTACGTCGACGAACGCCACGGTCCACCCTCCTGCACTCGCGACCCTTACACGGCCGTCCACCCTCGCCATACACTTTGAACTCGCGACGGGCGAGTTGCCGGAGAGTAATCTGAGAGCTCGGTACACACGGGCTCGCGCAGGAGGATACGCCTCATTCATAATTTACAGGGCTCTGGAAATACGGGGTGAGCACCGCCGCCGCCGCCGCCGCCGCCACCGCGCGCCGTGCCGTTCCTGTACGCGCTTCTGCGCGGCCGCCGCGACCGCCGGTCGGGATCCGCGTATTCATCGTGTGTCCAGTGTGTGCATTAACTCGATCGTTCTTATATATTTCGCCTTTTATCTCGTACCTCGGCGTGCCGCGAGCGAAATTTTTATCGGATTCCATTATTATACGGTCCCGCGATGACCTTTCCACCTTTCTCTCGAGATTTTCGAAGTGCAGAGCACGATTATATCGATGCCGTTTTTTCCCGTGACTCGCATTTCCGCTCCGCTATCTTCATACTCCGATGAGATTACATGTATTATAGCGTCGTTATCTTTATTTTACGTTAGTTTTTTTATTGCGCAATTATATCGTTATTACTTTTTCTTTGGATATTTATTACGTGCAATTCCTGCAAATGTCGGTTTATCCCTTTTTGTTTTGTCTGTATTTAATTATTCTTTATTACGTCCTTCCCTTTAAAGATTTAATTTCTTTCTTTAACATTTTCCTATAATATTAAATAAATTCACATATGTACCATACATGAAAGAGCGATTTTATTCTAAATTTCTTTCTGAAACATGCACGGAAAGAACAATTTTGCTGAAATCCAGATCTGAAAATAATTTTTGTTCGATAGTCAAAATTATTTTGTGCGAAAGTCAAAATGATTGCCAGAATATCAAAACGTTTTATAGCAATACTTGTCAGTTTTAACATTCCAACAAATTATTTTGATGATTCAATAAAAAATTATTTTCAGATCTGTTTTTAGCAAAATTTTTAAGTCTTTCAACAAAATCGTTTCTTTCGTGTGCCAATATCATTCTTGGCTTATATTTGCACGAACACGTATATTTCACGTTATATACGGAAAGAACGTTTGTCTTATAATTACGTCGTTTCGTAATATATAATACGCAAATGGGTAGCAAAGTAATCAATAATCGTACCAAAGGGCAGAATACAAAACGAATAATACGAGTAATACGTTTGATATCCCAGATCTCAAGTTCCTCGGTTCGGGATGATCTCTAAAAGAATTCTTTGTTTTTGTCCGCGGGGAAAACGCGGCTTTGTTTGCCACGGTGACCCAGAGCTTCGTAAAGATTTGTCATGTCATTACGTTCTTGCCGAGAGAACTCCCCGTCGGGAACGGATCTCGTCAGGCGCCTGTTCGTAACCGCAGAAAATCGAGACGTAGATTACCGTGACCGATGCGATACCCAGCCCAGTATCATTAGCGACACAGCGCAGGCATTGAAATTCGGTTTGACGGAAATTGGGTAACGTGACCACCACATCGTGCCATTAAATGCCGGATCGCGGTGTATGTGTGTATGTGTGCGCGCGCGTGTGTAACTTCGCGTGCTATGCCAAATGTCGCGGGAGAATGCCCCACTCGATAAACGATGGCGACGTGGAAACGGTAACGGACGTAATGATATTTCCGATAGTTATCATCCTTGCTGCAATTTCGATCCCTGCGAGATTCTCGCCGCGCGCAATGTATTTCCTCACTATTTCTCAGATATTTTTAAGTTAATTACTGACGTATACTGAGAGATAAAACGGTCAATTTATTAATAATTGTATTTCGACGTTACATGTCAGCGCAGAGACAGAGGAGTGCGCCGAACAATTTTTAGCTCGAGTGCAGTCAACTGTCTTTTGTCACCTGACACGGTTTACTTGAGAAATTTTATTTTTACCTTGTCAACACGAAAGATTTAGGAAATAGAACGTTTATCGTGTTAGGAGTACGTACTGCGTCGTACGGTGGATTCGTGAATTTCAACTTTAAGAGGCGACCGAAAGGCGCGGAATTTCCGTTTGCCCTCCTAAAATTAAATTGGACAAGTCCTTTTTATTTCCCTACCCGAGGCACATTGCCTGCCATTCAGGCAGCTATCGCGCTCCTCATTTCGGCTCCCGGTCTCCCCGTGACGCAGAAGAAAGGACGCGTTTTTGGCGCGTCTTTATATAAAGTCTCAAGCAGGTTTTTAATTACGCGGAAGTTACGAGACGACAACGGCGCGCGGCGCTTCACGAGCGAGCGATTACTTCGTCTTACGACCGTCCAAGATCGCGTTGTCGGAAAATTTAATTAGAATCAGCTATCGGGTCTTTCCGCCGCTTGTCAAAAGTCCTTTATCGGACTCTGTGCGAGCCGCCCCGCCCCTCGTATTGTCGTTCGGATTTCTCGACAGATTGCGGACACACCCGTACACCCTTGGGCTTGTTCTACTTGAAGAGCGATATCGATAATGCCTCTATCTTGGCGACCACCCCCGCGAAACGGGAGAGGGGAAGGGTCCACTTTCACGGCACGAAATATCGCGCGGCATTACGGCAATCTGTTGTATCCCTCGGTTGTATCTCCGTGTTCCCCTGGAACGAATAACTGTATCACGTGTACTTATGGAACTTCCATCCCTCTCGAGTGTAACATAAATCTCCTTTATAATACGGACGATTCGATGAGGGCCGAATCCGCAGCGTCCGGCCCTCTCCTTACCTTATACCATCTGCGTTCGTTCTAATCCGATTCTCTCTTGTAATATATAAGGTGTAAATCATCCGTTCTCGAAAACTGCACAACTACAAGGTGCTGCATGATAAATCGAGTTAGCATCAAACGGAATTATCCGATTATACTGCTGTACGTCACGGAAATTTTCGCGCGCGCGTGATGCTGATAATTTTATTAAAAATTTAATCACCGCGGTGTCGAGGAGGGGAACGGCAAAGGATTTCATGGTACATTACATCACATGCGCGCGTCATCTTGCTTTACAACGGCAAGTCCCGTCCCGTCCTGTCCGGCGCGCGGCGACGTTACAAGTACGATAATCCGCTCTGTGCATAAATACAACACGGAGATAAGGGGATAAAATTCTAGACACCGCCCGCAAAGCTTTCCGCTCGTGGTATCGCGGTTTCCGCGAGCACGGGGATTTTTGTTTAATATCAGGCCGTATAAACGCGGGATCGCGGACGTTTAACGGCGCGTCCGCGTCGTTAAGGAGCCTCGAAACGAGCGCGAGCTAATTACATCGCGGTCGCCGCGATACGGTAAACAGGAGGAGATTACGAGACGCGTTGAAGTTTCCAGTAATGGACCCTCCTCCCCCCCCCCTCTCCTCTCCTCTCTCTCTCTCTCTCTCTGGATAAAAATCGGAACGATCTGATAATGCGCGGTCGATGACCACCCTCCTGCCCTCCCCCTCCCCTTCCCCCGCTAAAGCAATCTAATTATATAACGGCCCCGAGCGGACCGCGTGTATTTGCATAGCGGGTATTCATATCGCGTTATTAGATAAGTTGATTATTGATCGCCTCCTGATTATTTAGCCGACCCGATTCGAAATGCATATAAAGCGGACGCGCGCGCGAACGGCCGGAAATGTCAATGGCAAACGATATTGCGCCCGCCCGCGTAATGCGCGCGCCATTTCGCCGCCTGTCTCTCGCCTGAATGCAAAACTTCACTCTTCACTCTTCAGCGCAGTTTTGTTTTTATTTACTCTGAGGCTCTCATCTTCACCGAGTGATAAATCGAGTGTGTCCGAGCGTGTTTTTCGCTCCCCTTTCGGTTAACATACACATATCCGAATTATGGCATTTTTGTTTCAGCGACGGTCGACTGTTAGAGGGAGATCAAATATTGGCGATCGATGGGCAGCCCCTAGACTCGAACATCTCCCATGAGCAGGCGATCTCGATTCTTCAGAAGGCCCGTGGTCTGGTTGAGCTAGTCGTAGCAAGAAGCGCCCAAGGTAATTACAATCTGCGTAATTAGACGCTGCGAGCGGAATCCATTTACGCCGGGAGATGACAAGGTCCCGCGCGTTCGATTTACAAAGAAGAAGATGACGCCGCGAAACGCGATTGTTGTGCGTCTGTAAATCTAGCTCTACCACCTACCAAAAAGACGTTTGAATATATGTCATAATCAAGCGCTAATTTATTGCTAATTTATTGCCTTAGTCCCGAATTTATTTCTTCTATAGGAAATAAATGTCAAAAGTGGGAGTGCTAGGTTTACTTCACGCTAGCCTCTCCACTTGCGAAAAATACGTATAAAATACTGTAAACAAAAAACAGATATACTAAAATTTTTTGCTCCAAGATAGTGCAAAGAAACATTGAAAATTTTGAATAATTATAGGTGTACTAATTATTGATTACTACAACATATAAGAATAGAAAATGAATACCTAACTATATAAATTTTCCTAAACTGTTACTCGAGTCAAATACTCGCGAACATGTTACTTTGGAATTTATTGCTCACGAAAGTTTGAAAATTATCGAAACGCATAAGGCTACAAGAGTGAAGTATATTCAACAAGTTGTTAATTTTGATTTTAAAATGATTCTAGAGTTAATTGCTCTTAAAATATCCTAGTTCCAAATTTGTCGCTTGTAATTTAAATGAAAATCCAAAAGTGTGGTGGTGGTAGCGCACGTACAAGAGTACGACTGTTCAAAATTCTCTGATGTTTCATTACAGCATTTTAAAACTTAAAATTAGCAAAGAATTTTGATATACCTGTTTTTTTTGTTTACAGTACTTTATAAACAAATGTGTTTTTCAAAAGTGGGGGTGCTAGCGTAACGTGAACTCAGCTTTTTTCCCCTCTGTTGATATTTACTTTCTGTGAATGGATAGAAGCAATAAATTCGAGACTAGAGTAATAAATTAGCCATAATTTAGCACTAATTATGGCATATATTCGAATTTTTTTTAATGGTTAATTTTAATGAAAGATTCACAGACGTGATTATTGCGACCGTGGTGTAATAGATTAATTTCAAGATATTTGGATGATTCGAAACAGCGTCGTGGATTTTGCAAATTTGTCCTTCTTCATCAAGGCATAGTTAGTTCTCGCAATTTTGCAATTTACACGAAAGCAACGAAAAACATTTCTTGCATGTAACAAGAAAAGCACTGTCCGAGACTATTATAATACGCTCTCGGCGATGCAACATTGTCCATGCTAGCATAAATGTTTATTTTCGTTGAATTTCTCACGCCGTAGAGAGTTAAATTAGTTTCGTTAACTTTTTTTCCTGGCCCGGTTGTTGCATATGGAACAGCAACGTGCTGGAGTGTCCATGCGTGTACACGGTGCGAATAACGCAATTGCTTCGTGAGAAGCATCACTTTACCAATGTTAACTTTTATTACTTTATTCAATAGAGTTTTATAAATATTCTAACAACTTCACATAGTTAACATTTCGAAATTCAGTGTATTAATTCTTTTAGCGATATAGTATCTCGCGCATATTCTCTTATTAATTAATTTCTGAAAATTTATGTGCCGAAAACTAATTTCTATAAAGAATTAATTGATTATTATTAAAAAGATTAAATGACATAACTTCACGATTAGACTTCCAGTAGCTTTTCATTAATGAAAAAATAAATTGTCTTCAGTTTTTAGTTAAATATCGAAGAAATTATACATTAACGGAAGTAAAAATATTATTAGCGCATTTTTTAATATCTATAATTGTATTTTAATGTCATTTTTTTGCTCGAGAAAAATATTGTGACTCTAATCTATGTAATTTTTTATTTAATATTTTATTTACGTTTTGATGTATGAACAATTTTGGGAAAGAGAGCTCTGATGGTGCAACTTTTCTGAAAAGCTGCAGTTACCATACTTCTCATCGGAGTGCGAATTAAAGTACCAAATAAATTTTTGGAAAGGGAGCTCCGGGCAGCGAGTAAACTTTTCTGAGAAGCTGCAGTTTTGCAGTTTACCACAGCTCCTCATTGGAGTGCGGTCGATGCGACGTAGAGTAGGTACGTCGCGCTCGAAATGGTTAAATAACGGACGGAACGGGTATGTACTTGCTATTGACAGACGTTGGGAGCTCTTTGCCAACGGATGAATTGTCCGGTGGTTCGAGTTCGACAGCGGCCGCAGGAGCAGCGTCGTCCATCGTCGGCGGCGGCGGCGGTGGTGCCGTTGCTGGGAACAACCAGACAGGCTCCGACAAGGATCAATCGGTGTCAGCATCGTCCACCGTCGTTACACCGGGACCGACCCCGAAGTCAAGCCAACCGGCCAGCACCACTTCGGCGGCGACCCCGACGCCCACGAATACGCCAACACCCACGCCGACCTCGACACCGGTACCCGGAGGCCTCGTCATCGAAAGGAGCCCCTCCGCCGTCAGCGACGCCTCCAAGAGTGGCTCTGACATGGTGGTGAGTCGCCGCCCTTTTTTTCTCTCTTTCTCTCTCTCCCTCGCCAACCTCGACCTAACCCGCGCGTTCCTCAGAACGCCCTTTTCTTTTTTTAGAGCTCCGCATGACGCGTTGTTTATAACGCCATAATTAGCGACTATCTTATAGATCTGTATCTCCGCGGCATTGGCGACCCGCGTTAGCATTGCGGGTCGAACGATCCCGTAAATTATTCGATATTTGTTTAATTAAGAGTCTAACCGAAGATTTTTCGAGCGTCTCAGATGTACGGTAGACTGAAGTAAAAGTTATGAAAAAAAAAGAGAGAAAAATCTTGGCCATCCAATTTCTCGTACATAATCAACACGCACAATTGCAATCGATATCTTTTCTCGTGATCATTTTTCATCTCAGCGGTTGTGCTCTTTTCCTTTTGTTTTTTCCTCTTGTTTCCGCTTGAGCAAAAGCTCCCCCGTTTTTCCCTCTCTCGGTGGAGAGAGACTATTGTGCTGAATATTTCTCCACGTAAAAGGATGTTCTTCATTGGCTCTTAATAAGCGCGCTCGTCTCTCTCTCTCTCTCTCTCTCTCTCTCTCTCTCTCTCTCCCTCTCTCGACGTCTTATTTTATCGTGTAGCTCATAGCCGGGGCTTTCAGACCCGAGATCGTCTTATGCGGAATAAACCCCTGTTCCTCGGAGAGACTCGAGGGTGCTCCATCCCGAAAGAAATATTTGCGCTGGAGCCGCCTCGAGTGGCGACACGCCGATAAAATCCCGATCGATAGCCCCGGCATAATTGGCCTCATTTGGGCCGCCCTATCACGGCGCGCCCTCTCTTTTTTTTTTATCTCTTTCCCGCCTTCTGTCGCGCGATAATAGGAACAGCGGCCACGGAAATAGAATTATTGGTACGGCCTCTCGCCAACATCTCGAGGCGATAGTCTTGCCAATAATATTTATCTTGTATCTGCGATGTCGGATGTCGTGGACTGAGGAGTATTTTTCTACGAAATATTATTAATTCTGCGTATTTAAGAGAGGATAGCGTCCAGGATCCTTCTGTTCGCAGTTTTTCATTTCCGCTCGAGAGTGTTGCTTTTAAAAATGTAATTAGAGAATCTAATGGATGTATAGAGGTATTAGAGGTATACTTTTAACTGTTCCTAATGTCCAGTAATTTCCGAACGAAAATATCATTTGTTTCAGCTGACAAGTAATATTTTTAACAGTATATTAAAAAACATTATTAATATATAGTGGCTGCCAAAAATTTCTAGCCAAATTACAATTTGACGTTATCTCTTTAAAAAAATACATGTTGCGAGTAAATTCCCAATTGTATCACCATTGTGGGTTTTATAATGCTCATTTAAAATTGAAGACATTAAAATTTTGTTTATACACGATGCAATATATTTATAATTTTCAGTACGATAAAATTACTTATTGGCCGGAAATTTTTGTCACAACTGTATGCCAACATATATTAATTATAATGAACTAAATTAATATATTAATTCGTGATACGAGCGTATTTACTGAGATATATTTCGAGAGGCAATTCTAAATAGTTAATTACGCAGTTTATTCGAAGCCATCAATTCCCGAGAGAGCTTTCGATTGGCCGGCGGGCCGTCCGTAGCCATTTTTCTTGATTCCTTGACATTCGATATACCCTAGATCGAAGTTTTGTTTTCTTTTTTTTTTTTTTCAATCGCAGATAAATTGGGCGCCCGTTCGCTCTTTGCCGCTTCCTCCATCCTCTTCCTATCTCTACCTGTCTTCGGGCGCGATAATAGGAACAAGCGGCGGCGGACGGCTGCGACGGAAATAGAATTATCGGTAAAGAGTTTCGCTGACGCCCTCCGGGCAATGCCGGTTTCTCTCTTTTCTCTCTCTCTCTCTCTCTCTCTCTCTCTCTCTCTCTCTCTCTCTCTCTCTGTGCAGGCAAGGTTTGCGTGATCTTCAAAATTTATCGTCCATTACCGGCGAGGTACAGTAGAATCGTTTATCCCTGCGGCGATGCCATTTCGATGGAAACATTTAATCGTAACAAATTGACACTTCCCGCGCTCGTATTAGATCTATGATCCCGCGCTTTCCCCGTGTGCTCTCTCCACGTTGCCCCGCAATCAATTTTATCCGAGGAAAATGGAACGGTTTTTACGAATTAACGCTTTTTCGCCGCGTTGCTCAAAGTTTACACACGGTAACGTTGACGGCCGGACCGTCGAGAGCGAGCGCCCTGGTACATGTAAAAAGAAGTAACGGGAATTTAATTGGAATTTAGTACAAACCTGGAGATTTCCAGGCGTATTGAAATCGAGTACGGCTCAGTGTTAATCGTTATTTGATACTGCTTCAATGAGAGAGAATCGCGACGATCACGGGGAGAGATACATTTGCGGGATTTGCCTTAACGATCTCTAATATTTATTACTTCGGAAACGATTTGTATATGACGAGGACTCGCGATCGGATGTCATTATTGAGAATCGCGTACATCGAAAGATGGCTTTACGTCAGAAAGTTCTGAAAGCATTCGATCGCGCAACGTCTGTCTGAACATTTATTTCCCTATTGCCATTAAGCAGATGTCATACTCGATTGATGGAAGGTCGGTGACATTTCTCGTGACATTGAGACAAGAATAGGATTATGCAGACGAGGATTTCCGGCATTGTCAATGGGACTCGAACGGAAAGGCGATCGATCGTAAAAGTTTATTGCCGATTGCGCGTCATTATTTAATGCGATATATTTTTTCAGGCTTTTCCTGGTAGAGGATATTAAATCGTTTAGTAATGCCCGCAATGTGTGTGTGTGTGTGTGTGTGTGTGTTTTATCACTCGCTCTATCGGCCGCAATAACAAAGCCGTCTCGTGCATCATTAATAGTGGTTTCTACGAAATCTATTAATGTTGAATAATGTTACGTTTAACGTGTAATTTGTGCTACAAATGTGAAACAGCTTGTTATTGTTCACTAATCAATTTTGTATTTTTATGAAATAATTCTCGGAAATTCGTTAAAATACACGTAAATATTTACAATAAAAGAAAAAATATATAAAAGAGAATATATATAATAAAAAAGATCTGTTTTATATACGATAAATTCTCCACACTTTAAAATTACGTGGAATAAATACAATTTTTATTGTTAATAGTATACAGTTTTTAAATATTATATTAATAGCACTTTTGTTAAATATTTTTTATCACATTTTAAAAATAAGAAAAATATATATATATATATATAACTGACTTTCAATACTTTAAAGTTAGACGAAACGAATAGAGAAAATCGCGGTAACTGTTTATTTAAATCGATTTAAAATTCAGAGTATTAAATCGCTTCAAAATTCAGAGGCATTTAATATTGCTGCTTTCGAAAGAAGGACTGACGGCATAATACATTCGGTATTAATCACGATTGATTATCGATTTCTCCTTTTCGCCTTTACTTGACAAGGAAAAGTATCTGCTCCCGATGTTGCTACGTCAGAAACGTGGCGCTTCGCGCTACTTATCCCGAAACTAATTTTGGTCCGCGAGAACCGATTATCGAATATATAACGAATATAACGAAGTATCAAAGAATATCCCGAAGAAACCCCCTGCCAGCGGGGTTTTTAACAACGTTGACGTGACTCTCGCTGAGCGTCCGGTGTGCGTCTCGACCCCGTACGAATTTCCCCAGCTTCGCGATCGCGCGCGAGGCAAACGCGCGCGTCCGAGGCTTTAATCTTTCATCGGTGTAAGTGCACGGCGCCCACGTAAGCACACGCACAGAGACGCACACACACACACATACACACACACGCGCGCGTGCGGTACATGCCGCGGGCACGCGTTTGCACGACACCCGCAATGTAAATCACTCTCGGCCTTGTCCCTCCTGTTTCACTCTGTCTTTCTCTCTCTCCGTTTCTCCCCGACGCGGCTTTCCGTTCCGGTTCGCGGGAGCGCCGGAAGCACCGGAATCCGAGGGACATCCCGTGGGTAGCGCGCGTGGCCGCGCTCTGACGGCGAACATATAGGTACGGCGGAGTCCTTGCGTTTGCGAGTGGCCAATTACCGGCTCGTAAAAATAATAAAAAATAAAAAATTCATCAGATTCTGCGTTTTAACGAACCAATATAACTCCGGTGTCCCCCCGCTAATCCAGAGGGGAACCGCGGGAGAGAGGGAGAGAGAGAGCGCGCGTCGCCGCACCGGTAAAAACGCTTTAATTAAATCCGCCCGATTGTTTGATGCGCGTAAATTGGAACGCGGTGAGACGCACTCGAGGCCGGCAAATTTCAAAACTTTACCCTCTCCGCGATAACAACCGACAAGCTAGTACCCCCGTCTGTACCACTTGCGCGACTTTGTCCTCTTCGTATATTTCTGAGCGTCCGGAAATGAAAGGATTATCTCGCACAATAAGCGATGGGAAGGAGGGGGGAGAAAGGAGAGATATCGCGAATGGAGTGCTTCGTTGAAGGAAAACGGAGAGATTCTGGCACAATTAAATTTCATTAATTTTTCGACAATATCGCAATAGCGGGGTACACCCGAGAAGAGTAAACGATGAAAAATTGATTTGAAAATCTTGGCTGCGATTCTCGCCGGAAATTACGGGGCCATTGTAAGCGCCCTGTAAGAGCTATCGGAAATCGGAACGTTAATATTAAATAGCTCGTTAATTGTGGCCGCGAGGACGATAACGAAGCAAACTCCAGAGAACCAATCAAAATTAATGACCTAACATGTTGCGGGCAGAGATTAGTACGTCGCTTCTGCTTGTTCTGTTGTTCTATTGATTTTAGGCAAAATACGAGTTACCGATTAAAGAAACTTCGTGCAGTATAATATAGTTTCATTTATGCATGTATAGGATGTTCCTCGAATCGGTCGCCACAGTTTTTGAGATTATTGGTTTCTATTAAAAAATTATTTGCATAAAAGAAATTTCAAAATTGTTAATTTTTTTAAATCAAAGCTAATTATGTTTTTTTTTAATGGAACCATATATTTTTCTTTCTACGTTCTTGTAACACATAAAAAAATGAATTTATCGATATATTTATGTATCCTTTTGATTATTTGATCTCAAGATAATTCAATTAATATTTACAATTAATATTTACATTCACGAATCTTCGATATCTAAAGCAATGAGACCCAGATATAAGCAAACATAGTCGTATTAAGGAACATACAAAAGGAACGTAACATACAAAATCCTCATCGTTGTTGCATAATACAATAAAGCATGAAACAAGGAATCAGTTCAGTTTATCGTGATCACGAAACTCACGTTCGTTTCATCATGTTCAATACAGTATGTAAGATATTCGATAATAAATATATCGCTATACTTTCATATCGGAAAAGTAGTTATATTTGTTAATATTTGATGAGTGCAAAAGAAATGCACGCGAAGCTGTCACCTATCACAGTGAACGGTACCCGGATAGAGTTCATCCTTCCGCAAGAACTTTAAATTTTAACGTATTTCCCGCGATTACAGGGCAAATTTCCAAAATGGAAAACATATGCATCGCTTTAAAGTGACAAACGACAAGAATGCTGCGACAATACTGGCACATTTTCAAGTTTATCCACATACTCGTACATACTTCTTTTTTGCTTTATTTATTGTATTTATATCTAAATCTATTTTTATTCTAATTATGTTTGGCAATCTTGCAATTAATCTCAATGATTCTTGAACTAAGAAGTAACTTCGAAAATCGTGATATATCTTGGAAAACTTGAAGGTTACATACTAGCTTCAGGATACTTTAACACGTGTGAAGAATTTCTGTCTTAGCCACGTCAGCCTTTTGCGGTTGACGTGAGATATCGACAAACCGAATCTCTCGCCGTATTATCTGAAAATCCCAAGTAACCTTGTTCGTTTCGTTAGGTTCGTTAAAATATGCCGCGGTGGAGCAGATGCTGCGCGCTATATTATTACTCTTATTTCCCGACCCTCGTACTTCATTCTCATTAACTCGTTCTTTATGCGGTATATAAGATACGGCTGTTAACGTCGGTGGAAATGAAAACACGTGCGGGAAGTACGAATGATACTCGCGAAAAATATACAGGGTGTCCCCGTATAAGTGGCCACCCCTTTTTATCTCGTAAACTAACAAAGATAGATCTAATAAATATATATCAAATTAAACGGCTCTGACTAAACTTTAAAGTAAGCACAGTGATCACTTAGAAACATTGTCTATGTTAGAGAGCGGAAAAACATGCGTAATTTTTGCAATGTAAAGTGACAACTTTAATAGATAAAAGTAGCGTTTTATTTGTTAAAAATCGTTGTATTCGTTAAAAAGAACGCTATAACTTTTATCATATTAAAATTGTCACTTTATTTACCGTGCAAAAATTAATCATGTCTTTTCGCTCTCTAACATAGATAATATTTCTAAGTGATCACAGTGCTTACAATACAGTTTAGTCGAAGCCATTTAGTTTGATATTATATTTATTAGGTCTATCTCTGTTAGTTTATAGATAAAAAGGCGAGATAAAAAGGGGTGGCTTATACGGGGACACCCTGTATATGTATTCGCGGTGAGATTGCGCCCAAGTACTCGCAAATTAATGGTACTACGGAATTTATTTGTGCTTCGCGTGCTGTTAAATGTAACATTTTAATAAAGATGAAATCTCGCCGCAACGTGTGTAATTAAAACTCCAACAACAAATCAGGTTGAATCGACGAGAGAATCGTACTTCCAAAATAATTAAACTAACGAATTTAAAATTAAGAAGGAGCGAAAAGATTTTTATTTTATTCCTCACATTTTTCATATTTTCTTCCATTAACGGATTCGTGTTTTGCTCAATCGTAATATAAATTTAATGAAAAACGCGGGATCTTTCTAGGAGTTTGGCTTCCATTATGTCACCCCGAGAGGGGTGTTCGGCGGGCGAGGTGGCATCCGATAATATTATTAAAGTTTCATAACGAAAGGGGCGGGAGGCACTAAGACGCTTTATGCCATCTTTTTTGTTCGCAGTTGAATACGGAATGGGCTCAAGTTGAAGTGATAAATCTCATCAACGATGGCAGCGGTCTTGGATTCGGCATCATCGGCGGGCGTAGCACCGGCGTCGTCGTCAAAACCATTCTTCCAGGAGGCGTCGCCGATCGCGTAAGCAAACCACAAAAGCTAATATTTTCCCTCCCATCGAGAGATCACCTGAAATTCCTTGTAGAAGCTAATTTCGAAAGTAATCTCTCGCGACACTTACGACGAAATAATCGTCCCGTAATTACAAGTTTCCGCCCGTGCGATATTATTAATATGAATTATATCGAGCGCCGTCCACCTTGATAACTTCGCTATATTATTCTTCTTTTTATCGCGGGATCCTGACTCTTAACGAGTAAATCTTGTCGTTAATCATAGGTTTAACTTCTGATAAGTCGCTCACTTAATCACACGGCCGTGTCGCGTGCGCCTTCCGCGCACTTATTCTTCCTCTCCCTCCCCCTCCCCCCTCCCCCTCGAACTTTCGCGCTTTATTATAACTCGCACGCGGGAGGTCTGCAGCAACGCGCACACGATACGGAGTATACATACACCTATATCGGAGGCGGATCCGATTTTTACGATCGAACGCGCATCGTCCCGTGGCGGCTTGGAAAAATAAACGGACGAGGAAATGAGAAAGCGCGACGGCGAAAATGATCCGGGACGTCAACGTTTTGCTCCGTCCCCCTCCCCCCTCCCCCTCCCCTCCCCCCCCAGGACAATAGCCGCGGAAATTAAACGCTTCTCCTCGCATTGTGTGCCCGCAGGATAATCGACTCCAGAGCGGGGATCACATATTGCAGATCGGCGATGTCAATCTCCGTGGGATGGGAAGCGAACAAGTTGCCGCGGTTTTACGGCAATCGGGCACCCACGTGCGGCTGGTCGTCGCGCGACCTGTGGAGCCAACTTCTCCCGATTATCAGGTATCTTCATTTCCGCAATTTCGCGTTTGCGATCGCGATTAATTACGCGCGATACGCCCCGCGCGTTTGCCCCTTTATTTGTTCCAAATATCCGAGAGGGCAAGTGGCAAATTGCAGGATTCCAATAATTCGCCGATTACACTGCTTTAATGAGCTCTCTCTCTCTATCTCCCCCTCTCTTGTTTGTTACCTTTTTCCTCGAATATAATTCGGAAATACAATTATAACTAGAACACATCGAGAATCAATTAAAATTAAAAAAATGTAGATTTTATCCGATTTTTATTTTTGTCATATCTGTTTTTAATTAATAACCAGCAGATTTTTATTTCTTCGAAAAGAGGATGAAGCCTTTCCTGCTTTGTAATTTATCTTGACTCCCGCGGCGTATACACGTTATTATTTGCCGGCAATGTCTAATATACTCTTGCACAACAAGCTGCAATTCTTTCTCGCGTATAAGAATCGCGTAATCCCGCTCGCGGAAGAAGCGTGCAGGATAATGGCTTAAAACTCGGTCCATTTGTCTATCTCGCGCAAATTAGAAGCGCGCGCGAGGCGTGTCCGCGCGTTTCCGCAAAGGTATTTAAAGCAGTCGAGTTAGGTTGCGCGATGCGAGCCATTAGATTCCAATGCGAGGGCTCGGGATGTGTGTTCGTCGGGTTTGGAGATTGATTGCACGGAGCACGGCCCGCGTACATCATTGTCGAGGTTTCCTCATTGACTATCTCGCGAGCGGGGAGGGAGAGGGGGGAGGGGAGGAAGGCCGGAACTTCACGCATGAAATTCCAGCAAACTGCGAGCCATTAGAACGATACGTTACCGATCTGTCGACTGCAACGCGATCGATATCGCCGCGAGATCCACACGAGTACACACATCCCGCGATTCCGCTCTCTCTCTCTCTCTCTCTCTCTCGACCGCGCCGGTGGATATGTCAGCTCATCAGAAGAAGCACGCCGCGACTCGCGAAGCAATTACACTCGGGGCCGCGGTGACCGAGGACTGTAATTCGGGGATTATGAATAATACATGAGGCAACTTCGCGTTGGTGATGGGGTTCCATTATAGAGAAGAATGGACTCCGGAATTTCTCGTACGCTCGAAATCGCGGAAGATAGAAATTACTTCGCCGCGAGATTAAAGTTGAGGACGACGGCGGCGACGGCAGCCGCCCGCCGGGTTTATCTTTCGCTGACAAATGAGTTGCTCATCGCGTTTTTCAGCGAGCCAACGGCGTAAATAACGGCCGCGTTAAAAGCGAAATAGCAAGGACGATGAATTCAACGGACTTTTAATAAATTAAGTTTTGGACATTGTTGCGTCCGGTTTCTGCGGACGCAATTCAACGCGTTGAACGCGCACGGGCACGCTCGCGTGTAACAAAGTATCTTCATTATTCCGGTGAGATTAAGTAAATGCAAAAAAAGAGAGAGAGAGAGAGGGAGACAAAAAGAGAGAAACGTCGAAGCGCACTCGACTTTTCCGTAACGTTCCGAGAAAAGCGAAGCGGTTTTCCCCGGGTTTCCCGCTCGCGTAGGCTTTCAATTTTTATCGCGTTTGATCGATATTTATATTCCGGCTCCGCGTATAATTCCGGCCGTCGTTCCCCGTGCGAATATTAAACAGTCGGCGACCCGGCTCTGCGCCATCAGCCGCGGAACAGGAATTCTTCCGTGAAATATTTTTTTTTTTTTAAGGGTTGTAACAAACTGTCCCCCGCTGCTTGTCGACTTGTAAATATCACTTGTTGAGGCCTGTTAAAATTCCCTCGAGACCTGTCACGATTCTTGCCGAGCCGAGGTGAAATCCACGTGACATCTGTAAAAATAAAAAAAAGGGAAGAACGTAAAAAAATGACGCGTTACAAGCCATGCGACGCGCAACGAATGCGAGTCCTCTAGTTCTTTTCAATTGACCGTAAAAATCGACACGGAGACGGATTTTCTCAACGACAAGCATTATTTTCTCTTAATTTAATTCCCTCGATGAGGTTAAGCTTTCAGTTACACGAATAAAGTAAATACAATACCTGCCCGTAGTTATGGTACACCGACCCCTGCTACCGCGGGGTTGAAGCGCGCGTAATTGTTATTCCACGCACAGTCCGCCGCGTAATCTCCGTGAGAAATTCTGTGAGGTGCGTCCCGGGGAAAGTCGGGCGCGGTTAACATTTTTATTTACTCGGATAGATTGAAATTTCCACACGGTTGGAAATTCAAAATCCCGGAAAACACGCTCGTCGCGCGGCATATAGAAATGCGCGCTCGTCTCTATAAAAATCCGGGGAATGGGCCAGGGGATGGGAGGTCGTTAGGCGGCCCGACGACGGTGGCGTTGGGACGGCATAAAAATTTCTCATTCCCCGGGTACTTCCAGGCCCTCGGAAGTCACGCCCCGATCGTACCCACGAAAATCCTTGGGGATCCGGACGAGTTGGACAGACATCTGGTGCACAGCGTACCGGAGAGCTACAACATGCGACACGTGCAGAGGGGCGATACCGGCTACGATAACGGCTACATGTACTCGCAGGAGTCCGACATTGAAATGCACGTGAGTGTCGTGCCGAAGACGGCGGGAATCGAATTTCTTTTCACGACGCGGCCTACCCTTTTTCCTGCATCCCCTTCCGGGAGCTTTCACGCCATCCTCGTCATCGAGGTTATACATACCGCGGACACGGAAAAATGTTTCTCTTGTCCCTTCAGGCAAGACCCGGTCTCATCATGGACGTGGTACGCAACCCAATGCCAATTGGAGCGATGCCAGTTATACCGGCGGTGCCACTTCCGGTGCAGCTCCAGGACCTCCCGGTGCTCACCATGGAGCCCCTCGACATTAATTCACTGCCAGAGATGGAGCGCTTCGAGGTCGATCTCACGAAGGACGCTTACGGCCTCGGGATCACTATCGCTGGATACGTTTGCGAGAAAGGTAATGGAAGCTCGAAGTAGTCGCGGAGGAAAAACGTATAGACACGTCGAGTGCTTTTGACATTTTGAAAGCATGCCAAAGCTGCTAAAGAAAGTATGCGAAGTATGTGCAGGCGAGCTGTTGTTGAGGCAGACAAATCGGTCGGATAGCACCCTTAGCGGGGATGAAAACTTTCAATTCTCTTTCTCTCTCTCTCTCTTGCAGAAGAGCTCTCTGGAATCTTCGTTAAGAGCATTAGCGAGGGTAGCGCGGCCGACTTGAGCAATAAGATCCAGATTAACGACCGAATAGTGGAGGTCGACGGGCATTCCCTGCAGGGTTACACTAATCACGAGGCCGTCGAAGTGTTAAGGCGTACAGGGCAAACGGTCACCCTCTGCTTGGAGCGATACCTTCGTGGACCAAAGTTCGAGCAGCTTCAGCAAGCGATTGCCGCGAGCGAATTGAGATTACCTCAGCCGAGTTCACCGTCGATAACGAGCCTACCCAGTTTCCCCATGAGCGCGGTACGTTCAATTAACCGTTGATCGTGGCTTAATTAAAAAAAAATGGCAAATGTACTTTTGTATTAATTAAATATCGCTTCGCCATTGCCCATTGGGCGTCATAGTTTTATAACGTTTACTCAAATTTAACTTTTCATACGTGATTGCGCATATATCGAAAATTTTCCACTTATAAATTCCACATTTATACATTTTAATTATATTTATGCATTATTGAAGTTATTAATATTTATAATATTAATACGAAGTTTTGATATAACTTAATTGTGTGTTATTGAATTTATTGAATTTATACATTTGCGGTTTTTCCCTCCCAGGACGGAGAGACCACCACCGAAATAGAGCCGGAAGGTGAATCTCACACCACCGTGGATAGCGCGGTTCTGCAGGAAGGAGAACGTTTAAGAACGTCCGACGAGCAGGACGAGGCGGCCAACGTTGAAGCGCTGTTGAGCGATCCATCGAGCGAGCTCACGCCTCAAATTCGCGCGGCAATCAAAGCGAAATGGCAGAAGATCGTCGGGCCCGACACCGAGATAGTCGTGAGTACCGCAATCTCGTCGTAGGATAAGATTGCGCGCACAGAGAAAGGATCATCTCTTTCGTTTCTTTATTCGTTTGAAACAGGTCGCCCAGTTGAAAAAGTTCGCCGAAGGTAGCGGTCTCGGGATTAGCTTAGAGGGAACGGTCGACGTGGAGAACGGCCAGGAAGTAAGGCCTCATCATTATATACGTTCGATCCTGCCGGAGGGCCCCGTCGGACAGAACGGCACGCTGCGCTCCGGCGACGAGTTACTAGAGGTTATCGTATTTCCATATATTTTTGGGCGAGGCTTTAACTCTATAGTATCTCCCCTTCGAAAGTGCTCGATAAAACGCTCCGCTCTCACGGTGCAATGTGCCTGAAATCGATATCGTGCTTTCTTGAAGGTAAACGGCTACCGTTTATTGGGCATCAATCATATGGAAGTGGTTAGCGTGCTGAAAGTGTTGCCTATACACGTCCGCATGGTTTGCGGAAGAAACATCGCCTCGCAGGATCCACTTTGCCCCATCGACACCGCTCAACATCAGGCCGCCTTCCAGACCAGAGTGAGTATACGGAGTGGCCGCGACGTCGCGCTGTGAAAACGGTTAAGTCGCGCCTTTGAAAGAATCTATCGGCGAATATCCATATGTTATCTCGTAGAGCATCCTCGGTGGGTCTCTGCAAAACTTGTTGCCCACGATGGATCGCCTTGTGAAAGCAAAGTCGGACGGTTCCTTGGCTTCGACGACGACCACGGCCACGGTGACCGACGCGAGTCTGAATAAAATGAAGTCGCGCTCGTTGGAACCGCTAACCGGTCTGGCGATGTGGAGTTCCGAACCGCAAATTATCGAATTGGTTAAAGGAGAGAGGGGCCTTGGGTTCTCCATTTTGGATTATCAGGTGCGAAAGTAATTTTTCGTAGCACGCGGTGGTTCTTCGCGATTACGAGAGAGAGAGAGAGAGAGAGAGAGAGAGAGAGAGAGAGAGAGAGAATCTACAATAACCTGTTCGACCTGTTTTTTCTTTTCCCGCTCGTCTACGGCTTTTAGGATCCAATGAACCCCAACGAAACTGTGATAGTAATACGATCGCTCGTGCCCGGCGGGGTGGCACAGGTCGACGGGCAGTTAATACCGGGCGATCGGCTTCTGTTTGTGAATGACATCGGATTAGAGAATGCAACACTGGACCAGGCCGTGCAGGCCCTCAAAGGCGCCCCGAAAGGGACCGTTCGCATCGGCGTGGCCAAGCCGCTGCCAATACCAGACAGTATTGTCCAGGTGAGCGATCAGGATGATCGGACCGAGGCTACGAGAGATAGGGATACCGAGGCGGCGACCGCTTCCTCGATCGTGGATAGCCACAAACAGAGACGGGAGTATTTCCGCGAGCGTAAGATTAACGTTACCGAGCCGCCGCACATGGATTTGATCGAGGGCCTGAAGCATCAGCACAACCTCGTCAAATCCGAGAGTTTTTAATTAGGTTCGCTCTAGACTCGGAGCGGTAGACTCAAGGCTCTTGCCTCTGCTAAATTTCACCGCGATTTCGCGACGGTTGTCTTCGAGACGGTCGACGTCGGCGCGGCCGAAATAATCGCGCAATCGAATTACTCTCGGTTCAGCTAACCGTATTCGATCACTGCGCTCGCAAATCACGAGCGGATTCACTCGTTGATTAAATAGAACGTAACGTGCGCACGCGTCTGAATGCATACTTTCTTAACGAGATTCCGTCCATAAAAGTGAAGTAACCGTCCCTGCATTTCATACTATGTATACTAAATACGACATCCATACATTTTGTGACTGTCGTCGAATAATACAAGCATGAGACACATTGTAATTCCATTTTGTGTGTTTAAAATCACAAAAATTTATAGAACTGTTTGTCATTCTCTCTGTATGTTGTTTTTCATCTTTCTCTTTTTTTTTTTAATCACGCGCACGCATAAGTTCGTCGTTTGGTGAAATTGGCAGAGTGAACTTCGGAGAAAACAATTGGCATCGGCACAATGTTAAAGGATACTTTAATACTTGCCATTTTCGTGTGACTGTTTTACAAGACACCAAAGCATAAATTTAGCACATTTACATAATATTGGATCGTGTTGAAATTTTTAGAATTATGGTAATTCGCAAAATGTCTACATATATAATGCATGACGTAGTCCATTTGTGTTTTAAGTCCGTTGTCATCTCATATTTATAGACCAAGTATATTTTATATAGCTAGTACTCTTACGTTACCCTTTCCTTTCCTAGATATTACTGCAAATACGATATTTATGTACGCAATGACTGATTTTCTTTTAGATTATTTGTACACATGCCTTTCGTACTCATTTTTAGCGAATTGCGAATTTATATGCGAAGTATATTTATAGTTTATTTCGAATATATTGTTATCGACACTCGTTGTGGGAACAATTTCATCCCGTCGAATATTTTTTTTAAGGCAACATACATTCAGCATTCGCCCACGGCAATGCACCAGGACGCGTTCAATGTGCTTTGCATCTCGAGATCTGTGTTGATTTGTATGTTCAGGTTGATCATTTTTGTATTGTATTTCTCGCCATTAAGTTTTTTTTATTCTATAATTATTACGGCATACCGCAAAAGGCGTAGGTATTGTTTCGGCAATCGCGTGAAAGACTTTTTATCGCACTGTGCGAGATTGTTGTCCCGCTTCAAGAATTTTTCGCAAGTACTTTTATCCGCAGGTGCTAATTTGACGTGGCAGAGCGCGTCTACTTGCGAAAGAGGCGAGATGGATTAAACGAATGATAAATGATCGGTAGCTAAGTCAAGAAAAAAGTTTAAACGTGAAATAAAATTTTACGGTATGCATGCACACCGATAGAGTGCCGTATATATATATATATGTGTTATTTTATTTCGTTTGTCATCGTCCACCACGACCACCATCCCCCCGCCCCCTCATTCTCCGTCCACTCCAGTTCTTTTTATGCGTTCATCACCTGTGCTTGTTACGTCATAATTTTTAACCGTTTGCTTTTCATTTTCAACGTTTCGTTTTACCCGCGTGGTACGCACTCTTCATTTCCAATAGTATATATTTATATTTAACATTGTGATAATACCTAAAGTATAGTTCTTCCGTGCCGCGTTCTTCGTACCGTTGCAACCGGAACATCCATAAAGAATAACGGCCAGTAAAAACGGCGAAGCCTGACATACTTTATGGGGCCCCGCCCCACGGCGTTATTCCGCGGGGGCGCGGGCCAGGTGTTTTGAATGATTTATGCGATACCTTCGGACGAGATATACCAGCCGACCGGGCGTATATTTTGACGAGCCAAACCTCTTCCCTCGCTTGGTTTCATTTGACTCCCGGACCGAGGGAATCACGCGCGTCTCCCTCGGGATGCGGTCCACGTCGTGGGATTAAGTGGGCTTCATCGCGAGGGGTTTAAGCACTCCGCCTCTCGCACGGAGAAAATAAAGCCAAGGGGAAGATCTCCAATTCTGGAAATCCCCCTCGCGCGTGATTCGTTCACCGAATTGCGGATTTGAATTGTGCTAAAGTGTGTTAAAGTGATAACAATTGCGATAATACATATATATATATTTTTTGTTTTTCATGTTTCTGGGATAGAAAGAGAACACTCGACGTCTGATAGAAGTTGCTAAATGTTATCTCTTATGCAGAATTACAGTTTTTACATCTTTATTTGCGAAAGAAGTGCGTCGATTAATGTCTCTCTTAGATTCTAGGATTTGAAATACGTCAATTATGTATATGCATCCTGATGCAATCGAGATGCAATTTCTGTAATCTCGACGTAAGAAACCCGATAATGAAAGAAAGATCGGAAGATCACGCAACTTTAATATTTATTAATAAGCAACTTTAATTTCTTATACATATATCATATAGACGGTTGTCTCAGACGAATCGGTCCACTTTTGACCAGTATAACTGATAATCCTATGCTCTGCTCCTATATACAATATAATTCCGTCACGATATCCAATGAGCTTTCGATGAGTTTTGTACTTTTTTGCGGTGGTCAGTCGGGGAAAAAAGAGAAAACAGGGGAAAAAGGAAAGAAATAGAGAAAGGAAGGTCGGACGTTCAGCGAACGTGAAAAGTGTGCGAAATGCCTTTTGGCGCCGAGTCTATATCGGTGCCAGAAAAGAAATGGAGAAACGCTAAAGATATGCGGCGTACAAAGAGAGAAAGAGAGAGAGAGAGAGAGAGAGAACGAGAGGAAAGAATGAGAGATAGGTGCGAAAGAGATTTTTTTCGGTAATAGCATTCGGTGTTTACCGCGGAGATGGGGTTTATATTGCCGACCATCACAAAACTAAGTAAGTACAGAACAAAACGATTGTAATAGTGAATGAAAGTTGCCTGGTAGAGTAGCTGAAACAAAACAACTTTATTGCATTCGACTTCTCTTATCACATTACTTCAAAAATTCTTTCGAAACTCACGAAACACACACGACCGTACTAGTGATCTTTGTTTAGCAAGTTGCAAGTTCATTTTGAGGAGTTATGATTTCTTTGCAGTATGTTACATTTGCCATTTGTCTCTTTGCAGTCGGGCGAGAGCGAGAGAGAGAGAGAGAGAGAGAGTGAAAGACATAAAGTAGGTTTTTTAAATAGCTAGCTGACATTTCAGACAAGCGAATAGCAAATACATGAGTGTGAAATATGAATGGGGAAATGAGAGAGAGAAAGAAAGAGAGAGAGAGTGAGAAGTAGAAGCAAAAGATAAGATTAATGAAAAAGAGAAAGATGTAGAGTGTGAACGAGAGAGATTGAAGCGAAAGGAACTGGAGTGAAAGAGAAAGCGCGAGAGAATGATTCGAGCCGGCGGCAAAGTAGCCTGAGGGCGAGAGAACGTAAAAAGCAAAAGAAAGAGACGAAAGAGTGAAAAGAGGGGAAAAGAATAGACAATGAGAATATCGTGAGAACGTTATAAACGAGGCAAGTAAAAGATACAAGTTGAACGATATTAAATCTCTCGTTAATTCTATAATTTTTTTTCTCTTTTTTTTTTCTTCTTCTGACTGTGTCGCATTTTTCCTTTTGCTGTCTCACAAGATCTCTTTTTAAGCGACCTGTTTTTTTTTTTTTTTTTTTTCAAGCGATCTCTCAAGCAAGCTCGTATGTCAAACTTTTCGCCTTTTTGTAGAGCTCTACTACCATTCCACTACTGTCTACTACTCACTGGCACCTTTCTTCACTATTATCAAGAGGCTCGTGTGGGGATCGATACCGTACGTTTACTACTTACTCGCAACCTGTTTATACCTGAACTCTTCCGACCGCCTTCCCGATACTCGAACTACTTCGAACGGGCGAAACGGATGGTACACACATAAGCCTCGATGGCAGCCGCTGGGATATCTGAGCCGCAAGTTACGTAATAAATCGATTCTCCTCCAGGCTTCCTTATTTCTTCACCGCTTAGAACCGTGAAGCTCTTGTTATTATCTTTAAAGCCGAGAGCCTCGGAGAGTCACGCGAGAGTAACACGATCGTACATCAGTTCTTAAATTGCTGTCGTTTATTGACCATCGTTCACACTGTTTATCACGCGCGTTGCTGTTGCCATTATACTGTCCTTTGTACGATTCTATTCACCGTTCTGTCTCATTGCCATTGTCATTTTCCTTTATCGTTTATACCGCCGGTGTACGTGTGTCGCTGTGTCGTTTATCTCGCTCTGTGTTGTGTTTCACACTCTCTCCATCCCCCTTTCCCCGCTGTGTGCATAGCCGCCTATTACGAGCTTCAGCTGCATAAAACGTTTAACGCGCGGGATGATTCTCTTCGCGACATTCGCACATATACGCATAAAAGATTTTCCTCGCAACGCGGTTAAAGGCAACGATAACCCCCCCCCCCTCCCCCCCACGAAAATTACCCCCGTTAAAGGGCGCGCGTGCAGAATGCAATCTCGGACTTTAGGCGACGATTATATGCACGATCTCTTTTTTTTTCCCTCCGACATATTCCGCCGTTCTTTCTTCGTTCGGAATTTTTACTTGACAGTCACAGTCGCTACTCCTGCAAGTGCTTGCTAGAATGTGGCAATTCGCACATTAATTATAATTGGAAGACGAATCAGAACGAGCGCCTTCCTCGATAGATCTGTCTGTCGCGTGTTGCAGCATGCTCGCAGCACCCTCGCTTCACACGCAGACACTAAATATTTTTAAATATTAAACGAAATAGATTCCGATCAGAATCGCGCGACAAATAACTGAAATAAATGTTGCACGGTCATAGTTTCTCTCACGAGCCGATGACAGACGACGACTCGTAAAGCATCCACTGAAAGCGTCTCGCGAGAAGCTTTCCACTAAATTAACCATCGCGGAAAACAGAGAGATCGTGTGTTTCCGTTCCGCAAGAAATCCGACGTAAGCTCGCTGTGCGGTGAAGCGCGAAGAGTATTTCGTCGGAGAACTTATCTCTGCGACTCAACGCACAGCGCGTGGGAAGTTGAAAATAAATTTGAATAAAGACGACGAGAATAATAGCGATCAGACGATAATTTAATCGAGATCGAAAACAAAAAATATATTTAAATCGTAATAAATTATTATTATCGATTGATGACATTTGTAAAAGTGCTCAGTGCGGTAATTAAACGTCTCGGTGAAGAAAACATTTCGTGATTATGCGAAAACACACGTATTTTCGTCGTTGTAACTTGCCCTTTCTCCGTTCTTGAAGAAATTGGAAGGAACGATCGCGCTTCTCTGTCAAAATTTGACGATTACTTTGCGCGAGGACACGCTTCTTTGCACGTTCATCGCAGCGTATCGCAACACGATAATTACGTAAGTCGTTTATCCTTATCGGGACACCTGCGCCAGGTGCGTTTATCTGAACGGCCTTCTTCCTCGCCCGAGTATCTCTTTTTTTTTATTCCTTCTCTTTCGCGCTGTTATTCTTATTACCGCGAGAAAAATTTCACCGGATATTTTACGAAACAGCTGGACTCGTTCGCTGGGAAAACGAGGCTCGACTTAACTTCGAGATTTATCGCGCGCGTATTTTCTTTCTGAAACATGAGCTTCGCGCGCTATTTTCATGAAAGACAGAGAAATCGCTCCACGCCTGTTGATGTTAAATGTTCTGTAGGGACTTCATAAAAATGTGATAATTATTGATGGAAAAGTGTACACACTATTATATCTGATTTCTGTTATAAATTCTTATATTTTGTATTTTTATATGCGACGCAAAAATATGTGAAATTGTAATTTTTATTTGGCACAATAATTAAATTGCATCTAAAAATCTTTGGCTTCTTTCTCATGTAATTTTTGCATAATTTTTTTTATCTATAATAATTTACGAGCGTTTATGAAGATTTAAATCGTTCTTCATAAAATATTTTTAAAAAATTATATATATAATGTATATAAAATAAATTAAACGATTATATTTCTATAATGCAACACGAATATAAATTTCCTCTATTCCCATGATATGTCTCCTCTGTAACATATTAAGTGCACGTAAGATTATTGTCTTTTTTTTCCTTTCGAAACGCTTTGTATGTACTCTTTTCCCCATTTTTCCAAACACAAGCATTTGCTTCATTTTACGTGCAGAAAGCATAAAAGAGATGAACTGACAGTAAACAAGCTGTAGTCGCGTTGGCACGCTTCGTAGAATTTAGCGAGAATGCGACGTGGTAAATTTATTGTCGAAAATACCATAAGTCACACGCAACTATTCAAACACACACACATACACGCACGCACATACGTATCTCTCTAATGATGTATCTTTTTCATTTTTCAGAGCGAGGCGTAAGCGCCGAAGCGGATGCGTTTCTCGTACGAGTTATACCTTTACTGCAGTTATCGACCAAAAAAAAAACCAAAAACAGAAATAGAAAATAAAAGTTACCATACGATCAAGCACTATGTCCTCGTTTATGCCCATTTTAATAATAACATAATAACTAATCCAAAAGAAAGAGAGAAAGAGAGAGAGAGAGAGAGAGAGAGAGCAAGGAGCGTACCGAATATAATTTCACGCGAGTTAAAAACGCAACGTCGAAGGAGAAGATGGAATCGAGAGAAAAGGAAAAAAAGAAGAAATGTATATCCCGTCCTCTTCCGTTCGATTTATTCGAGACTTCTCTCCCTTTCGCCAATATGAGCTTAATAATTAACATGCATATTAATTAACACGATCGACATTTTATCGACGTGTTTCCTTCGATTTTTCACGTCGTGTTCGACGTGTTTATCTGTTACGTAAGCCGTAAGGGATTCTTATACAACTTACTTAAAATCGAGCATGCAGATTTTGAACGGCGGCGATTTTGTAGTTTCTTCCACCACGGCTCCTTGCCATTCTTGATGTATCTGAAATTCACGAACGTTATGTGAAATTGTATCACTAACTTTGTTACATTTTATCAGAAATATAGAAATATACTGAACGCACACATATGACATGGAGAGATGTTGGTATATAAAGTATCATTAGCCAGATATCATTAGAATTATTCTCGCAGCGTTTTTATTTTCGCACCCTCGAAAGATTTTGTTTTATGATATTGCCATTCTTGCTGTCAATCACCACAAAATCATTAAATAATTTGATTTCTTTCTGCAACGTACAATCTAAACCGAGTTTTAGAAAGTCTGTTTACTGATCAATAATTTTGTTGCTTGAAATTGATGATTTTGAATTGATTTATGCAAGTTGTTTATACCGGTGAACCGACCGTTTCGTTGTTGTGCTACGAGTGTTGTTATTTTCATAAGAAATAGGCTACTGAAAAAAAAAACAATATGGATGTTCCGTAATGCAACTGGTACCCAACACGAATTCGTGATGAATCGTTAGCGAGGTATCGCAAACTGCATGAGTTGGATGAGAATCTCGTGATAAAATATATCAAGTTCTATATAGGTAAGTCTCCATAATTCTTTCCGGTAGGTTGCTCGCCTCGTATAGAAGATATTATTATCATCATTTAACTATAACTTAACTTCTTAACTTCTTAAGTCGCTCCGAGAAGTTAATCGATTTTTAGGCGGGCGCAGGAAATTCCGTCTCTTGATTTAAACGTCTTTGCATAACGATTCTTATCCGCGTTTTCGTCGCTTTGTTCGCACGCTCGGACTCCTAATTCCTTTGCCATTCGAGCGGATTAATCGTCATTTGATACGCCGATCGAATTACTCGAATGGCTCGAAAGAAATGAATCGAGCGACGAATAGACGGCGCGGCGTTACATAACGTTTAAATTTATATTGAAAAGCTACATTTATGGGAAAATGCTGAAATCTGCTTTTCTGTCGACGATATAATGATTTACAGATATATGTAAACGATTGCATATTTAAATATTTAACTTTTTTATCTTAACTTTTATTTTTTTGCAATCTAAATGACAAAATATTTGAAATTAATGAACTTTCTTTTGCTTATTTTCATTATTATTATTATTATTATTATTATTATTATTGTTATTATTATTATTACCAACAAAACTAGAAATAAGCTAAAATCAATATGTGTATATATACGCATACACACAACTCACGCACACATATATATGCATCATAAATTATTAATTTTAACATCATCATAATATTAATTTCAGTTTTCTACATAAATTCTATAAAATTCATAAATTTTATAGAATTAATTATAATTTACTTATATTTTACAGACCTAATAATTTTAAATTTATCAATTACATCTTTCTTCAATTACGTCTTTTATGTCGTATTTTATAAGCATAGATAATTTACGATGAATTTTATAACAATATTTTATAAATGTATTACGTAATAACGCAATGATATTATTTATAATATATTATCAAGCATTTGTGTAAGCATTTCTTTTATAAATTGTTCAGAAAATTCGCGCTGAGAGAGAAATTATTTACTGCACAATTCATCAAGTATTTCATAAAACAGAATTATTTATTTCTTAGTTCGCTCTAATTATTTAATTGCATTCGGCGATGCTTTTCTGAATCTAATTTAGTTAATAACGCACGCAAATAAGTGCATACTTTCGGCAAATCGTATTTCGCCACTTCAACTAGATCTTTCTCTAATACATTTTCGCACAATTACGAGTGCTTACGGTAGTCTTGAAGCATCAGCATCTTATTTCGTGTACTTATAGCTATATTGAAGTTCATGTTTTGATACTAACTTAGGCGTACTATTGAATTTATATTTAATAAATAGCTCCTTCTTTCTTTAGAGCAGTAGTCATTTTTCAGTTGTACGACGACGCATCGTATCGTCGGCGATCGCGGATTTCTAGACCAATCCTATTTGTACGGAACTATTCCCTTAACTGGATAATCGCGGCAACAAAGAGATTACGAAGCGAACGTATTGTTAAGCAACGCTTACATCTAGCGTACATATATAGCGCGACGATATTTTGCCTTGGCGTTTTCCTTCAGAAAGCTGCTTGAGATTTATGCAATTGGCGCTATACAAACATACACGAAATTCACTTAATTGTTGATTCCCAACGCGACGATCTCCCGTATTTGCCCGTATTTATTTGCATTCGCACGCACGTTTACACGTAGCACGTTTCCAAAGTACCCGCTCGCCGGCGTGATTTAAATCTGAATACGTGGCACGCTCGCTGCAGAATTATCTCCGCATAGATCAAAATTCGCGAAAATGCATGCACGCGCGATCTAATTAGCATATTGATGCAGTCCAAATGCATATAAATGAAATTATGCTGTTTCAACGCCAATTCACGACTCGCGTCAATAGAAGTCGGCTGTATTACCATAGCTTGGAGTCCGCACTGAGATATAAAAAAAAATCGTGTCCCTTTCCCCTCTCGGGAAATACCGCAAATTACATAAGCGCAAAATGTTTTGGAACCGCGAATGAGATTCACGAGCTCGCGCAATAGTCTCAATTGCCATTATATTGCTAAATTGCCAGCTTCTTTCCTTTCTCCGGTAAGCCAGCCCCCGTTGAAATTTAACGTGAAATCTTAGCAGCAGTAATTGTCGGCGTTTGTACTAATGGTCTAACTCCTTTGTCTCTTTTGCTCACTTTTCTACGCTGCTCTTACTCGATTCTATAGCAGAGGGTAACGCCGAGGATCAAACGGAGCAAAAGTTTTCCCAACGAGAGCGAGACGACCGATCACATGGCCGAGCTTGAAGACTTGCTTTCCTCGAGATCAGGTACATTTTTCTTCCTCATAAACGTGCGTGAAATGTACGAATTGAAAATTTTATTCGATTGCAACGGAATTGATGAGATTAAGATTTGCATGATAATTGTAATACCTCTTGTCATTTATTTGATGACGAGAGGCTTCAGGAAGCTTGATTAGTTACCTTAAGATGGCTTATCATAGTAAGCGTTATAATTTTATTCAGAGAATATTAATCTACATAAAGCGATTACTATACCTTACAACTTCGCTCGTGCAATTTTTATCGATCGCGCGGCGGCTGCAGCCGTCCCGTTCCAAAAGCGCGTCGTATAAATCACACTCCATTCAATAACGAGTACATTCCGACAGTACATTCTAGCCGGTTTCATATATTCCTATTGTTCCGGAACGGGGATATGTCGCGCCTTGTTTCGCGAAACGTACTATCGTGATTTCTATACGAGCCAGTCCCTTTCTTCGTCTGACAGCAGCGGCGGAATCTCCTTTCGCGCTGTGTGCAGCGAAGATATATGTGTATATCTCTCGTAACGTGGCAATTTGCCATTACCATTCAAGCCTGATATACCGAAAACCATCAATTCTGATCTCGCGATTAGACTGGATCTCCTTTATAGATAACGTACAAAAGCGCACTGCGCCTCAACACATCGCGGGATAACACGCGATATCCTTCCACGCGAGCTGCTTAAATAGTAAAATTAAATTTAATTCGATATAACTTTTATTAGTGTGACTCGATGATAGAAATCGGAAAATTTATTGTGTCAAAGACGATTAATCGCGGGCGATTCGATCGACTGTGTACCTCCGAATTATCCCAAAATGCCTCGATAAAAATCGCGTCGAGCGTTTATCGGAGATCCACCGACGCGATTGGGTTCACGAGTAAATTCCTACTGTGCGCAGGACTCACCGAAATCTCGACGAATAAACCGGAGGTCGACGAGGACGAGGAGGAGGACTGGAAGGACGCGTCTCCGATCACGCCGATCTGCAGTCCGGCCCGGCGGTCTGGCAAACACTATCGCGACAAACGGTCGCCCACCAGATACGTCGACGTCGACAACGACGTCGAGATCATTCACGAATTCTATCCTACGACGTCCAAGACGATGCGCGAGGAGACGAGCATCGTGTCGTACGGCGGCACGATAATCGTCGAGACGACGAGGATACCCAGGCACACGAAGGATGTGCCGACGGAGAAGGTGGCGCCGAAGGTGAAGTTAAAGAAGCAATCGTCCCTGGAGCTGGACCGCGTGCCTCCCGTTCAGGAGGAGCCGTCCTCCAGCGCGGAGGACACGTCCAGGGTGACCGCGAGGCCGGCGCGGGAAGCGGACCAGGAACGCAGGAAGAGCCTGAAGCGTCACAGCAGCGCGGAGTCCGAGGGGCGAACGTCCACGTCGAAGGAGACGCTGGAGAAGTCGGACACGTCGTCGGAGAAGGGCGCGAAAAAGAAGATCTTCGCGGAGAAGGGTGACGGTAAGAAGCATTCGAAGAAGTCGGGAAGGAAGTCCGTCAAGACCGAGCAGAAGGCGGAGGAGGACTCGTCGAGGCGGAAACCCGAGGGCGAGGAGCCCGCGCGGAAAGACGAGGAGACCTATCGACGATCGAGGGAGGAGAGGAAGAGCCTGAAGGAGCAGGAGTGCATCGAGAGGGTGACGGAATTCCTGACGAGGCACAGCATTCCGTCTTACTCCGACGTGAGCGTCGGCCTCGAAGCGCCCGCCGCTCCTCCCGAGGTCGCGGACGAGCAACCAGAGCAACGAGTCAAACGTCCATCAGTTATTAGCAAAGAAGAAGAAACGTCCATCGTGTCGACGAAGAGGAAAGGGAGCCTGAAAAGCGTATCCGGGATGGTGGAGGAAACGAGGGACGCCGAGAGACTCCCGGAGAGCAAGAGGCAACGGCCGACTCTGGAACGAGCCGCGGCGACCGTTTCGGAGATTCGGCAACCCGAAACGGCGGTTCAGCAACCCGTAAAGCGACCGAGCTCGTTGAGAAAAAGGAGAGACTCCTTCTCCAGAGAGTCCTCGAGGGAATCGTTGCTGGAGGAGAAAAAGGGAGTCAGGATTCAAGAGGACGTACAGGAGATTTTTTACGACGACACGAGCGAGCAGGTGAGTGAACTGCGCTTCTTCGTCAAAAATTTCATACATATTTCAATTGCATTGACTTCGACTTGTATAACCGTCACAGATAACCGATCTGCTGCCGGAGGTGCAGCTGGTGACCGCGAGGATCATTACGGCGGAAGAGGCGTCCGCTCTTCGCTTCGAGGAGGCGGCCGCCAGAGTCGTGATCCATTCGCCACCGGAAGTGTATCTCGTTCCCGAGACGGTTAAAACGAAGCTGACACGGGCGCCGTCGCCGGAAATCGCCGACGTCTCGACGCTGCAGCTGCCCGCCTTGGCGAAGTCGACGTCGGAGAGCACTTTGGCGGAAGGCAGGCCCAGCTCCGACGAGGATCGCAACGTCTCCGTGAGAAATCTGAGGCCGGAGATTCTCTGGGATCTGTCGAAGGTCTCCGATAACGGCGTGGTGACCGAGGAGACGGGCGAGGACGGTAGAGACGTCAAGGAACGGCGGCTCAGCAGAACCGGGAGCGAGGGCTCGAAGAGGGCCAAGGAGCAGAAGCAGGAGCAATTTCCCTTCAAAATCGGCAGCCTCGCGCAGCCAGACAGACCGGAACTGACGATCCTGCACGAAGGTCCCACGGAGAGAAGGGAAAGTGTCGGAGAGGTTACGAGAAAGGAAGGCGCGAAGGAAGACGATGGCATCTCAGGGTAAAGTATTTCTGCGCTGTCCTCGTAATGATCTCGCAAATATCAAATAGATCTGTTGTCTTACATAAAAATTTAATTAATTAAATTTCATATTACATCAATTTCGTTATTTAAAAAATCACAGAAAATCACTCTGATATTTCTCTCAGACTTGTTTGATTTATTGATTGTAAGGAGCTTATCGTGAATATAAATGAAAAAAAGAAATAATTTGTTAAACGTATACGACTTTGTAGCGGCGTGAAAAATGAGTTGATTTTATCGCGCATTGCTGACGTAATCCGTCGGTATCGAGGAGTACTTTGCATATTGCGCGGAAAGAAAATCTTTTCCTCTTAATCCGAAATGTTCGATATTTACACCGAGAAAGAGAGAGGATTTTCGGCCATCAATTCACGTGGGTGAATGATCGATCGATTTCCGCGCGCCACGCGGCGCATGGAAAGAGGCAAACAAGTTTGTTTGCGGTATCGCAAATGCGGTCTGTCGATCGAATTATAAGTTCGAGCGACGTCGTCGCCCGGGGCTTCGAATGTCGATTTGCAAACAATATTATTTACTTCCGTAGTTTGTCGCTCCCGATTAGGGTTGGATCGCACGCATGGCTATAGAAACCCCGAAGTGCTCGTACAATTTACTAGAAATCTAGGTCAGCGACTAATACGTCGCGCGCGCGCGCGCGCGCGCTCGCGTAGAATACTTCGCGTCCCGAAAAAAAAAATTCGAGCTGAAAAATTCATCGTGATTACGTCCCACCGCGCCATTCGATTTTAAATGTCGCTCTGTATTGCGGATTGAGGAAGGGTCGCGGAAAAATTCTGCATCCAAATTCGTCGAATGAGAAAATTGCTGCTTCCCTTTTTCGCATATACTATAATTTTTGCGAGATACATTATGTATTAATATATACCTTGCAAACAGCGAAATAATGTTGAATCTCGATTATTCAAGCATGAATCTCATATTTACGGAATGTCGTATTACGATAAAACTGTCCAAGATACGCGATTGAGAAGTCAAGAAAAACGATAAGACCCGGAGCCACTTCCGATTTGTAAGTAATTTATTTACATTAATTGAATTACCAAGCAGAATATATTAAGCGAGTCTACATCTCGCAGATGTAGACTCCATGGGAGATTCCATTTGACAATTAATTTATTCCATCCTGTCATGTTTAAAGAATGGGAAGGACACTTGCTCTTTTCTAATTAGTCAAAAAGCAAAACGCGCGACCGGAATCGTCTTCCTTTAATTCCTCCGTTCCGCTTTTCTCCCTCCTGCAGAAACTTTTTCGCTGCCATTTACATTTACGATTCTTACAAACTTCTCGCGGGATTGTGGGAGTTGCACATCCACGCAAGAAAGCACTTACCGCGGAGTGCTATTTTTTTTTATAGGGCCTTCGTATTCACGTTGGGGGTCTCACGCGGCACACGCGACGTTATACGGTCCAAAGTGCGATGCAGTATTTATTTATTTTTTCTATGCTTAAAATAGTTTGGTTGTTGTGTGTGTGTGTGTGTGTGTGTGTGTGTGTGTGTGTGTTGTACTCGCTACGCAATCGAGCAGATTTATCCGTTTTATCCGGAGTAGATTTTTATTATATATCGCACAGTTACACTACATATATCCGTAATTGCTCTCTAATAATAACATGTAGTTTACATTAAATTAACTTCTTCGATACGGCGTACGTCCGCGTAGTATTACTTGATAGCCTAGACCAGCGAATCGCCTTTCGTACATACCTGTCGACTTTAGTCGACGATCAGTCGACTATGTATGCCTTTCGTGGCTGTCAACTTTAGTCGACGATCGTACACGGAGAGAATTTTATTTTAAAATTTACCCTGAAAATTATATTAATCGTAGCACAACATAGTATTTCGACGAATTTTATGTGTTTTTCACTATATTTATTAATATATTATACTACAATAAATTTATTGTAGTACAATATATTAGTGCACAGTAAAATTTGTCGAAATACTATGTTGTCCCATGATTAACATGATTTTCTGGGTAAATTGTAAAAAGAAATTCTCTCCGTGTAACGAAGAATTAATATAAATTAAAAGTTGACACAATTATTATAAATTGCATTTATGCATAATACATGTCCGAATAAAAATTAATTCCATTGTAACATTTACTATCACGTTCGAAAAATAAGCTGCAATACATCTTTGAACAAATTCATGGTTTAGATTAATTAAGAGCAGCGAAATATAAAGAAACGTACACACAGAGTCGGCCCTGCACGGCAGACGAAATCGGACACGTCCATCCGAATGAAAACGTACACTCGATTCCGGGACGCAAAGTAGACCTAGACAGGGGGAAATTCTGAAAGCTTAACGTGGAGTGACAGCGATGTCGGCGGGGGACGAGGGAGGAATGCGGGGGTGTAGGGAATATCAGACCGAGCAGTAGAAAAGGGCGCAAAGAGACCAGCATGGCGCAATTGGAGTAGCGGAGAGAGAAAGAGAAAGAGAGAGAGAGAGAGAGAGAGAGAGAGAGAGAGAGAGAGAGAGAGAAAGAGAGAGAGAGAAACAGCTGGAATCAGCCAGTGTCGAGAGCGCGAAGATACAGCAGTGTAGATACGGGAAAGCCAGAGCGACGCAGTCAAAGAGGCGGATTGACATTGGGACGCTCGGAAAGCCGAGAGAGACGGAGACGGAGAGCGATGTGATGTAACGAGCTCGGAGCTACGAGAGTAAGCGAAAGAGAGACGAAATGCAGCTGCCGGTGGAAGGCCGGGGGAGAGAGGGACGAAGCATAGAGACGGGCGGACGCGATGCATCCGGACGGATAATGCGGACTGCAAAGTATAGAAAAAGACGGCGGGCTCAGCCGGCGGGGACAAACACGCGCGCGCGATATGGCATCGATGAGGATAAGGAGAGATAAAAGCGTCGTTACAAAAGCGAGCGGCGGGGAAACGTGCGGCGGAATCGTAAAAGAGCCCACGAAGACGGAGCACGCGCGCGACAGACGGAGAGGGAGAGACGCGCGGAATTGCCGGTGGCTGCCAGTGAGATAAGGCAGAGAACGCGAGGAAGTCGAGGTGGCTGTGGGGCAGAGGGGGAGGGGGAGGGGGGGAGGCAAGACGGGAACTCCAGCGGTTAAAAAGAGGACGTGAGGTACAAAAGAAACGGGAATGGCTGGTCGCGCGTGCGTATATATATGGCGAAGGACGGATAAGCTGTGCGATTCGCGTAAGAAAAATACAGAGAGGCGAGTCGAAGCGTGTAATGAGCGCGAGCGCGAGCGCGCGGGTGTACCGCAAAAATATACAGAGATGAACGAGAGAACGCTCGCGTGCGCGCGCGCGAGGGGAATCTCGCGTTCAGGATAAACGGAGCCGATACGAAGTATCAGGATAAACGCGGGTTTTTTTTATTATTTTCAAATTGTTTTGCTCTTCAACATTTCGTATTTCTCGAATAAACGGAGCGTATCTTTTTTTTCAATTATATCAGTTTCACGCGAACCGTAATAAAGCTTTAATTTCCAAGCTTTAATTACCAAGATGTGTAACGTCGAAAGTTCAAAGTTTCAACTGCGAGGGGAGGGGAGAAAAAAAAGAAAATACGCGTCGGGTTAAACTTTGACCTTATAAAAACGCGCCGTGCTCCACTTTTGACAGACTGATACGTGATATAGGTATGTCACGAATATTCCGGCGACCGCGGTGCACACGACGTGAATGTGAATGCACACCGCGACTACGTAAACGCGTTATTTCACGTGAACAATTGACGAACAATTGGCGCTAATCGTATGACATCATTCCCCGCTAGTCAATTAGGCTATCCTCTACCGTAAGGCGCTTTAATTGCATTTGCGACACTAATCACTAACATTGCTCCTAACGTCTCAACGCATTCCGCGAACCCGACGAGCGATTATTCTAACGTCGTCGTCGATTGTTAACGCGCTTCGCGTAGCACGTGGTAGCGCGTGCCCTCGTAATCTCGGTGCGCGCGGCATTGTGCAACCGTGCACGACGGTAATTCGAGCTTCGTTATACATTTTCTTAACGTCAGACGAGACGGTGCGGTAAAATCCGACCCTGCAGCGCGAGCGGAGAAATGTCCGCGGTCCGACAGAGGAGTACCAGCCACGAGGAGAAGCATTAAAGGGAAGAAGAGCACATACGCAAACAACTCGCACACGCACGCACGCGGAATGGGATCACGCGCAAAACAATACCGATACTCATATCCGTAAAAGTTTCCTCGTGGCGCCTCTATTGAGTGCGCGCTCTTCTTATATATGTATAATATGACATCGCGATCGGTGTACACCTGCGCACGTGGAGCTCCTATATACAAAGCAATTTATCACTCTAATTTGGCGACGAGATCATCTTAATCCTTGTAATATCACTACCGTTGCCATTCGAGCAACGCCGTGGTGCGCGATGCACGGTTCATTCGTATATAAGTTACATAATAACCAGCTTCCATCGAATAATTATAGCCGGCCCTTAAACAAGAAGCTTTTGATAAAATAATTATGCTTACGTAATGAGTCTGTAGATTGAAAATGTATCGTCAAATTGGCAAGCGAGAGCGCCGTTACATCATGCGCGCGTCAATAACTGTCCGCTCGCGCGTCGTCGCTACGACGGAGTCGAACTAATTTTTGTGGACACGCGCGTGTCAAAGAGGAAAATCATTTTCCAATGCGCTTGTGACAAAATTGGGGGAAATTGAATGCATTAAATGCGCTAATTGAAATTGAAATTCATTCAATTTGGCTTCGCGGGCTAAAAATATTTTTGCCGTTTTCGCACGGAAAAATTACGGCTACACCCAATCTCGAGAAATTCCTGGCTGTTCGACAATGGGCTCGCCGTCATTTATCGAAAATTGGCTCGGCAGATACGAGCTGTTCGGATTACTCCTCCGACTACGCCCACACACACACACACACACACGCGCGCGCTTGAACACACGTAAGCGCGAATGCATAACGAAGCGCGTAACACGTGCGCGCGTGCATTTCCGAGCACGTACCTGCCGCCTACATTTCGGCACGTATAAACGCATGAATCTCCCACACACGCCTTCGCAAATCGGCACACGCGAATCCGCTACGGATTCTCGAGTGCGCGCACACAAGCCGATTTCGATTTCGCAATACGGACTTTCGAGCTACCGTTCGGTCGACGTGTCTGGCCCGGCCCGGGCGCATTCAACGCACAACACACATCCGTATACGCGCGCTCCTCACAAGCACGCTCTCAATTTTCCCGCGAACGCTATTCCCATAAATGCACAATGTACGTAAATGTACATGTGTACCTGAGTCGTCTCGTAAGTTTCCACACGCGCAGGTGTATATACATATTCTCACGTTTTGCGCGCGGCTCTATAACACACGTTTGCTCCTCTTTTATACAATTAACAGACATGCCCGTAATATAAATGTCTAGACAGTCATTTTTAGAAAGTCTTCGCTCTCGGAAAAAAACGGATGAAATTCACAAATTTATGAGATATTTTTTGAGCACGTGTGTGAGCTGTTTACATCGACTGTGCTATTTATTAATTAAAATACACGTAGCATAAATAATATAAATGTAAAATATCATGTACATCTCCTGCAGATTTTATTATTTCATTACGTTGCAAAATTACAAAATGTCATGTATATTATATTTTTCACATATTTATAGTAAAAAATATATTTACATTATGTATGCACAATGTATGTATATAATACATATTTAGATTGTTAATGCTTTAACAATAATTATATAAAAAATTCTCGACAAATAGACTTGAACGATTTCAGGACGTCTTAATGGTCTCCTCTGGGAAATATACCAATCTTTTTTTCTCGTCTTTTTTTCTCATTATACGTAACTTCTATATCTACATATGGAGCTATGCAAAAGATGGCCCAGGAAATGTATAACAACGACGAGCTTATTTCATTGAAATGGAAAATAATTCTATCTTTGTCGAAGTTGAAGTCCAAGCATAATTATCGAATTATTTAACAGTCATACAAGACCGAAAAAGACATACCGAATTATTTAACATTAAAGACTAAAGAGTTCTAATGAATTCTGAATTAAACCGCACATGTATAATAAGCTTTTGTCCTTCGGTCTCTTTAAACTTTACATTGACTGAATTAAATTTTGGGAATTATAGCAATCAATTATCGAAACGCCCCAATTTGAGAGGAATATATATATACAGAAATCCGGAAATTATCGAAATTAAGAGAAAATCTTCTGTAACCTTTGACATATAGATGCGATTTGCATTGATGCCCATCGGACCTTTTAATTCATCGATTTTCGAAATTTATTTATTTTTTCATTCGTAGAAAAGCTTGGAATTGCAATTTCACAATCCTCGTACATCCGTTTCTTTTTAGAGTATTTCAATCTTTGATTGCACGATTCAGTTTCAAATGAATTCCGATAAATCGGAGAATCTCGCAAACGTCTGTGTCAAAAATTCGATAAAAAAAAGACCGCCTTATACTGTTAAGAGACCATCATAGCTTGTTACATAAGCTCTCCAAGTCACTCTTTTATACGAGCTATACGCACACGTGCACGCACGCGTGCTCAATGGGCAGCAGCCCGTGCACGTACCGCCGACCCGCGTACGTATATATATATATACGCACATACGCATCCACTCCCACACGGGCGCGGAGCGCGCGCACGCATCGAATACTCCGCGCGAGAGATTCTACTCTCGCGAGTAGAGTCGCCCGCGCCTCGCGGTCAGTCGGCGTGCGTCCACGCTCGGCACATTACCGTCGCGTTTGCGCGCCGTCCTTAACGTTCGTGTGCGTGCACACGTGTGTCTGTGTCTGTGTCTTTGTCTTTGTGTGCGTGCTATATACGTGTGCGTACGTGTGTGCGGCTTCGCGGCCCGCCGTGTATGTGCGTGTGCATGCGCTCCGCGCGAACGACGAGAGTGTTATTTATTAGATCAGAGGAAGCCAGTTTGCAGTGACGCACGCGGAGTGCCGGCCGTCGGGGACATACACGACAGTCGAGCACCTCGGGCTCGCGCGCGACGAATAAGAAAGCGAAAGACGTCTTCCGGGCGCGCGACGGTGTTCTTCTCGCGTTCTCCAACGCGAGTTCTTCCCGGCAAGTGTCCGCGGACTCGTTGCACGCTCAAGCTTTCCGCTCGTCCTCCTCCCGTGAGGCACGATTTGCTAAGAGAAGAAAATCGGGAATCCGTCGAATAGACGGGATCGGAAGCGAGCGACCACGTCGTCCCGCTTGGATAACGGAAGTTGGAGAGCGTCGCGTAAGCGCGTCGTCGTTCCTCGCGCCAGAATCTCTGCAGCGAGCAGCTGAAACAACCGGTGCGAATAGCTCCAATTTCGCGCGACGAAACGCTCGGTGAGAAACGTTCGCGGCGTAATTGATCCTCGTCGGCGGATATTTCGCGCAATTTAATAGATGTATGAAAAACGCCGCGGGGGGCGAATTCTTCGAACGTTTAACGATTTCCGTATAGGCCAACTTGTTTTGAAGCTTATTCAAATCAGGGGATTATACACACAGTCAGTTACGTAAGGATTCTCAGGATTGCGCTAACGCAAAGTTCGAAATCTGTACGATTTCGTGTAAATTATACATGCTTTGCCAAATCACAAAGTTGATTCGGTAGGGCTGCAACGCGATAAACGCGTTCAGAGATTTTAAGCGACCCAAGTTTGAAATGAGGGCCCTCCAAGTTTTCGGCTAATAAGTGAGAAATGTCAGAATTCGCTCGAGTTTACGCTTCGCATTTTAGACTTTTCGTTTTTATTTTTATTATTTTTTTTTTTGTTAAGTATGTATCAAGCAGACGCGCGATACAAGAGCGGCAAAAAGTCTGAAAATACGTTTTCATGTCGATAATGGATACGAATAATAATCCGAACGGTCCCGGGACTCGAGAAAAATCTCGGGATATATTTTTGGTCGAGATATCATAACCGTTCGAATGGGAGATTTTCTCTACTAAAAGCAAACACAGTGGTAGGTCTGTCACGTTTTCCGCGCGGGATTTATACTGTACGCTCGCGCGTGTGTATACATATCGAAAATGTGCGCACGTACTGCATCGGGAATACATCGCTCCAACACACGCAGACAATAAGCCCATTTATATTATCATCCGTTATACAATCCCCTCATTTCAATTGCATGCTACGAGAGGTATTGCGGTGAGAGATCGCGTGACGTTAAAAATTTTTACTCTTCTAATTGCATCTTTTTATTTTACAAAGAGGATAAAGGGAAACGGGAAAATATTTAAATCCTTTCACGTTCTATTAACCGCTCGTGTTAATAATGTCAATATTAATCCTGCGCTCGCGCATAAAGTATTCGAGCCTTATTCGAGCCAATTAAGAGAGATGACCGTATTATTTACCGTTTTATCATAAATCGTCATTATTATTCATTTCTATAATATAAGTTAAGTCCAATCATACTTTCATCAATAGAGTATAGCGCGGTGTGAAAATGTTTTTGTGATCGCTCATGATCGCGACGAATATAAACGGCAGAATTATTTTAATTTTATTTTCGCATTTCGCGAGGCGAGATAATTCCAGCGATAAAAGCAATCGTTTTTATTTATATCGAGTGTCGAGTGTTCGACAGTAACGAATGACCTCGGCAATCGGCCAATCTTTTTATATACCGCCGACTCGCGCCGGCCGCGAGTAACAAGCGCGGATCGCTGCAATTAAGAAAGTCGTTGCACGCAATTGCACTCGATCAAACGACGACGTCGAAGATTCATTTATATACTGTCCGGCGACGGCTTTGTGCCGGCGTTTCTTTGCCGCGCCGTTGAAACGCCCGACACGAAGACCCGCGTCGTCGACTGACCGCGCGCGAGACTGACCGCGGAGTTCTCCTTCCGCTCTGTGTGACCTCTGGTTTTCCTGGTTTTTCAAGCGAGTTCCAAGTTCGACGCGAGTCCAAGGGATCCGTCCGCGTCCCGAAGGATCTTGCGATTCCGCCGCGGGATTCCCGAAGAGAGGAACAAAAGGGGCCATTATCGCGACAAGAGGCCAAGGAGGAGGCAAGGGAGGAGGCGGGCGATGAACGGACCCCTACGCGGGAGAAACGTTCGCCGTTGTTGGAGGAAGTTATTTGCAAGCACGAGGAGGATCTGATCTGCAAGGAGCACTCGCTCCAGTATCAGAGCCAGACACTCGAGAGCCAGTCGGACTATCTGTTTCACGAGGTATTCGCCTCCTCGTTGGAGGACCAGCTGGAAACGGTGCCCGAGAGTTGGACCCGCGAGGTTTACGAGGAGAGCCTCGAGAGGGTCGAGTGGAGCTTCAAGGAGACGCAGTACTCGCCCAAGGAGAAGCGCGATGTGCAGACGCAGACTGTCCAGGAATCGAAGAGCACGCAGTGCAGCCCCGAGCAGAGCGTGACGAGCCCGTGCGAGGAGCCGCCCAGGATCAGCCCCTTCCACATCGGCCAGCGGTACTTTCAGAGTCCCAGACGGGAAGTGCAGACGCAGACCCAGGGCGAGAACAAGAGCGTGCAGTGCTCGCTGGACGATCTGGGTGATCTCGCGCGGAGCGACGCCGATCAGGAGTCGAAGAGCGTTCAATGCGTCCCGGAGGACATCTCCACGAGATCGTCCGACAGGTCGAGATCCTCCTCCCGCGAGGACGTCCTGCGCAGCCCGCGGCGTGAGGTCGAGGTGCAGACCTACCAGGAGTCGAAGGCGATCCAATGCAGCGACGACGAGCTGCTCGGCGAGGCTGACGAGCAAACGAGCGCCGATCGTCCGGAGCACGCGCGTCAGAGCAGACCGGCCAGCTCGACCTCCCGGAAGACCGAGAGCTCGCCGTCGTCGAGCTCGAGTTCGCCCCGCAAGTTTCCAACTGTCGTCTTCGTGGAGGGCACAGGGGACATGACCGTCACGCACAGGGAGCACGATGGCGACGTCACCTGGTCGAGGCACTGGGGTCCCGAGAGACTGGTCGAGATATACAGAGAGCCGCAGAGCACCAGCCTAGGGCTCAGCATCGTTGGTGGAAAGGTATGTAGTTTAGTGTTTAACGTTGCGCGATCTGGCAATATTTTGCATAATCACGATGCTTTGATAAATCCAATTTTAGATTCATACAATACATTTTAACAAATTATAAAGAAGCATGAATCTAATTTTACAAAAATTTAGCAAAACAGATATTTATAGCGCTTTCAACATTTATCTTTTTGATAATATCTTCCAATTACGCGACGTCGCCATTTCTCTCGTTACATTATTTATAATAATGACTCTATTACGGGTATATCGATCTAATTTAATCTGATTTACAACATGAGCGAACATCGCGCACGTGGTCGCGGAAAATTTATTTTTACAAATTTCCCCGAGATTCGGATCGATGCAAAGAGAGGATAATCCTGAATTATTACGTACGTTCTCGCGGGCGGTCGTCTCCGGCTACAATTTTTCGCATTCCTTTTATTAGCGCGCAACGGATATATAGCTGGACGAGTGGACGACAAGTGTTGCCTCCCCCCC